TGCCAGGATGCTGAGCAGGTTTCAGCAGAGCTTCTAGACTAAGAGAGATGAGGAAGAAATGCCTGGTGATCTCCTCCCAGGAATCAGACAGTGAAAACCCCAAGGACCACAATGGTCCAATCTGCCCCCAGTGACAGGGATGGAGCAGGACCGGACAGTGCTTCATTCTGCCATCATGAGTCAGGGGCCAAGTTCACAGCAGCTGTATCACACCACACATCACTTTGATCTTGTAATATGACCTTCCTGCCAAATCTGATTAACCCCTATTTTTCTAACTAGGGAAGCTGAAAGAGGTCTTTTATAGCTTGGGGAAATACTAAGAGGCAAAACAGACAATCATGGGTAGTGTGGGAAGGGAAGGATTCTCTCTGGCATCAGGACCATGGCCTGGTGGTGGGGGGAGGGGGGGTGCAGACAACGATAGGCCAGGGGTAGGTGGCAGGTTCTCCCCTACTAACATTATGGCCTTGACCACAAATCAGAGTCCAGAGCAAGGAATTGCTATCTCAGCAGTCAGAGAGTATTGGGGAGAAGTGGGCAGGAGAGTGGTGGCGCCCAGTCAATGGTCCTCTTAGAGGAACCTTCTGCTATGCATTCTTGGGTCATCTTAGTTCACGAGGTAGTCATGCCCAAGCCAAGACTCGGCCAGCAATTCCCAGGGGTGTTCTAGGATAACTTCCTATACTAGAACAGAGTAGGAACTTCTGTAAGTAAGACATATTCTGGCTACAAGGACCCCATTCATCTTCTACCCCAAACACAGAAGCCCCTTGCATGGCAAGGATACCGTGGGTACTGAGGCAGGGATGCCTAATAGCAAACAGACACTGGCCAGGGCCACACCATGCAGATAAAGAGGGTCTTACATGGATTCCTGCATATTTAAATGTTCTTGTATAATGTTAAATAATATAATATAATGTATAAAGTTAAAATTCATCCACACTCATAAGCAGAGGCCTCAGCACATAACATCAAGGTCACATCCTTTGCTTACTGTATGAACATCACAAAATTTTCAAGCCTATCTCTAGTTCCTGGAGGCAGAAAATTATACCTTTTAGGAAGCCATATATATGTTTTAAAGATATCAAACATGACCCAGGCAACTGTGAATGGAAAAAGCAGACTTACATGCCCATCCTCAAAGTTCTTCAGCAATGTTGGGTCGTTAAATTCACCTTGATCCGTGATGAAAGGAGGTGCATGACTATGAAAAGGAAAGATTGTTTTTAATAAAAACTTCCTGGAGATAACAGTTGATGATGAAAAGTATCGAAAGAAAACATGCAACCAACCCAATCTCCTACTTTCGGTAAGGATTGAAGAGTCTACAGGCAAGCTTTAATTATGAAGGAGCTCTGTTCCTAAGTGTGTCTCTAAGTCGAATCTGTAGGGAAGTTGAAACAGGTCCCTACAGTTCTTACTTCTTGTTGTTGTTGTTTGCCATCGAGTTGGCCTCGACTCATAGCGACCCCTCCTTGGGTTTCTGAGGCAGTATCACTACGGAAGTAGGATTGCCCAACCTTCCTTCCGAGGAGTGGCTGGTGGGTTTGAACCGCCAGCCTTCTGGTGAGCAGTCAAGTGCCTTAGGCACTATGCTACCAGAGATCCTTACTTAGACTTATTTTAGTCAAGGAAAGGCTTGAAGGCTTGATGGCTTTTCCATGATCAAAAAGCTGCATGTGCAGTGAGTGAAGATGACTGTGATGAAGAATTTGTTCTGAGTAGGGGGTTGGTTCTATCATTGGAAAGTGAGGGTAAGTTTGCATAACATTAAAGGGCAAGTACAAATTGTTGGACGTTTGTAACCCAGGGACATACTGTATATGAAATATTTAAAGTTCTATCAAATTATATCTCTTTCCCGTCCCCAAGCTTCAAAATGGCATTAGAAGAGGCCTAAATGGTCATCTATATGAGATCAAACAGTCAGGGCAGGGAAACTAGATTACCAGAAATGCAACAACCAGAAAGGAAATAAGGAGAAAGTTGGCACACTGTGAAAAATGTAACCAATATCACTAAACAAAATGTGCAGATATTGTTAAATGGGAACCTAAACTGTGTAAATTGTCACTAAACACACAGTAAGATACTTTAATTAAAAAAAAAAAAATTGGATGGAAACTGGATATCCATCTGCAGAAAAATGAAACAAGATCTGTACCACACACCATACACAAAAACTAACTCCAGATGGATCAAAGACTTAAATGTGAAACTTAAAACTACAAAGTTCCTCAAGGAAAAAACTAGGGACAAATTTAGGGGCCCTAATACGTGGCATAAATAGACTGTCAAGCATAACCCAAAATGTACAGACAGCAGAAGAGAAACTAAATGAATGGGACCTTTTAAAAATTAAATTTTTATGTGCTTCCAACGACTTCTCCAAAAGAGTCAAAAGAGAACCTACAGATTAGGAAAAAATATTTGGCAATGACATATCTTATCTCTAAAATTTACAGAAAACTCCAACACCTCAACAACAAAAAGGCAAATAATACAATTAAAAAATGGGCAGAAGACATGAATAGACACTTCACCAAAGAGGATATTTAGACAGCCAACAAACATATGAAGAAATGCTCACAATCATTAGCCATTAACGCACTGCCGTTGAGTCAGATCTGACTCACAGCGACCCCTCCTTGGGTTTCCGAGGCAGTATCACTATGGAAGCAGATTGCCCAACCTTCCTTCCGAGGAGTGGCTGGTGGGTTTGAACTGC